ATTGAAGACCTGCCTGCATGGCCCAAGAAGTGGTCGAAGAAAAGGAGCCCTAAACTTTGTAGCCTTTCTGCCCTTGGAGATTCTTATTATTGCCACCTATGTCCCTTTGTGCTTCCAATGCTTCTTGTCATTATTGTGGAAACAAAATCGGATTGATTGGTTCAATCCGCTTATATGTAGACAGATGGAAGTCCATTGAAAGAAGTTAAGAACTTGAAGGTTAATCTCAAAATTTAACTTTTTAATGATAAGTTCGACCTGAGTTTGACCATTTTCTATCTTTGATCTTTGATCTTTTTCATGTTGGAAGTTTAGAACTTTTAAAATATTCGTTTTATTGTTAAAGATGACTTTGTTTTTCTTAACTAGTTTCTTGAATCTATGGAAATAGCCTGAAAAATTATTCTCACGGACGCAAGGTCTTCTTAGGCGGGTTGCATCTAGACAAAGAACAATCTTATTTTAAGCTAATCATGGTTGTACTCAAAATTGTTAAAAGTCAAACCTCATTGTAAAGTCTTCTTGAGGGAATCAATGTCTCTGGTCATATACTTATAAAGAAAAAGTCGAAAGATCAAACAAAAGGATTAAGAATCTTTGAGATTAACTTAATGATATTTGAGAAAAATAATGGGTTTTACATTTTTTGTAATGTCCTAAAAAGAAAAAGAAAACTTCAAGAAGTGGACTCCGAATGTCTTGAAAATAATAAATGATATGTAATTTATTTATATAGAATAAGGAGATTAAGCTCCTCTTTGAGTTCTAATTCTTTTAATTTTTATTTTCAATCACATATTCTCCTAATAAAATAATTTTACATATAATTATATAATTTTCCCTACTTTTTAACCATATATTATTGAACAAATCACTATTTTTTTTATAAAAAATGTGAAAATAGCCGTTGGAACGAAAAAACAATAACATTTCTGAGAATTCATAATATATGGAATATAAATTTCAACTTTGAGAACATGTTGGACATATAAAAGCTTACATTATATTTACATTTCTTTCTCTTCTTTATTGCTAATTAACTATTTAATTTAATTTTTTTGCAGTAATTTATGTGATACAATGGAATTGGATGAAAAATGACACACTATCAACAAACTCATTGTGTTGGAAAAAAACTCCATAAGTATGTCTCTATTCAATAAAGTTCAACTAACCGTCAAACAACCCTAGTCTAGAGTGTCAAGAAAAGAAGAAAAATGTAACATAGACATATCCACATTTCACTAATAAAAATAAATAATAACTTTTTGTCCATGCATAACTAGAAGTCCAGGCCGTCTAGCCGGCGTCTTAATGGTCGCTTCTTTTATTCCGTCTTCAAGTGATCGAGTCGAGCCTCAAACATGCGATAACCGCATAATCGGTTGTACCATTATGATTTGAGGATGTTGATTAAAACAATATAAGCATCATAAAAAATAAAAAAATAAAAAAAATCACTTGCCTTTTGACCCTAAATGAAAGAACTTTTTTTTCTTAATTAACCAATTGAGAGATGAATGCCTTTTTCTTTAACTTGACACAAGTTATTCCTTTATACACTTGCACGTCTCCCTCTTATTTGGAATAATAAAATATGCAGTTTCTTAATCACCATTGTCACTATCATTTATATTACAATATTTTCATATTTCTTTTTATCTTCATATGTAATAAATATTTTATTGGCTTATTTATCACATGATTCAATTGTCCCAAAAATGAATGTAAATAATATTCTTACACTATCTCAAATTTTAATTTAAATTAAGAATTTTCTTAAAATAAAATTGTTAAGGATAGAAATCAGTAGATGCACCTAAACGTAATTTTTAAGTATGAATTATTGGGAAATTAATCATTAGAATAATTGAATGATTTTTATTTTGACGATTCAATGCATGAGAGTATACATGAATATATTCGTGTATACTCTCAATACTCGATCACCTTCAACAACTATAAAACTATGATGTGCAAATACCAATACATGAACAAATCAATATGAACACAAAATAATATAGGGACACAAATAAAAAAAGAATGTAAAATATTAATTTGTTGATTCATTTATTATTAATTTTCTTCTTAACAGCTGATTGTAGGGCCAATTTAGAGAGACTCAATAATTTGGTTCACGTGCATGCATCATATATTCATGTAGACAAGAATACATACATACATATATACATACAAATGCACACGTATCACCTATCCTTTCATTGAGAATTAAATATATTTTTCAATTAATTTGTGGGGAGTTTTAATTTTCTTGTTGCACGTGGGTACCCAAAAGGGAGTAGCAATATAATAAGTAATACCCCACATCAAATACGGTTCATAAGAAATTTATTTCATATATATCATGATGGACCTCCTCTTGATTAGTTGTTCAAATCCTTAGCTGTCCATGATTGAAGTTTGTCTTGAATTATTGCATCTTTTCCTTTCAGTTGGGACACATGAATTTTTATATGTTCTCTCTGTAATAAAAAAAAGTTGTAAAAAAGGCACATAAGCTTTAAGATTCTTAAAAGAGACATAAAATTATCATTCATTAGTTAATAAATCAATATAAATTTGACTCCTATAAATGTTTAAATTGCACAATTTATGACAACGACGACGATGAAGATGAGAGATGAAATCCCTTTCACACGAGCATCAAATGTTATATCCACTTATCCATATTTTCGTGTACTATGGTAGGAGAGGTAAATTCATTTTATTTTTTAAGGGAAAAGAATGATAAGTTAGAAAAAAAAACCAAAATATTGAAATTGTTTTCCATTTTCTCTCTCTTTTTATATATACTAGTCAGAATTGAACGTGTACTGCACAATATTCTGAAATGTTTTATAAGTGTTATAAACTAATATTTGATGCTAATTTGTTGGGAGGATTTAATGAGTCTCAAACGAAGTAAAATAAAATAAAATTTAGGATAGAAATTTAAGAAAAGAAAATTGTACTATTGAAACTCAACTTTTATGATTCAACTTTTTGTGATGATGAAATACTACAAATGAGTAACATTTTTATTATACATTTGATACATAAGAGAATTAATTATTTATACACGAATTTAAACACTTATTAAAATTTCTAGATACATGAATAGAAATAAATTTATCCATAAGAACTATAGATTTATGTAGATCAAAATTTATCAAGTCAAGATTTATATGAATGTTAACTAATTAAGAATTAATAACACAAAATTCATACATGAAACGGATTTTATAATATTTATTATATATTAAAAAACTAAGACTAAAGTATTATTGAAATAATAAAATTATAATAAAATTAAAATTGTTCAAAATATAAATAACTTGATATTTAATATATCGAAAATTTTATTTGTACAATCGAGGTTGACAACCTCTCACACGTGTGCGGGGTTCACATGTTTAAAATTTTATTTTTTTTTAAAAAAAGTGGACCCCCCATGTGAGTGGTTGTCAACCGATGTTGTACAACTAGCGTGACTCTTAATATATTATAGGATATCAACATTATAACGTGTGGCACGGGATCCTCTTCTTCTGTTCACCCCGCAAGTAGTAAAAACTATGCCCCACAGTACGTGTAACTTGGTGTCCACGCACTAAAATTTGAATTCTTGGGAGTTTTCCAATATCCAATGAGTTAGAGATAATCTCAAATACCTTATGTTTAGTGGGAAATTCTTGAGAATGCCAGTATTTTTCTAGAAAATTACAGTATATTGAGTTTATGTGCCTCTACGAATTTTTATTTTTATTATTATTATTTTTTAATGATTGACCAATGACCATTAGATAAAAAATATCGAATATATCTAGCAATACTTAGCGGTGGCAATCGTATACGCCCTAGCTCGGCTTAGCTAGGGTTCAGGCTCGTCTTTTGACGAGCCCAAGCAGCTCACGAGCGGCTTTTTAACTAGTCAAGCCGACGAGCCACTCGGCTCGATTACCACCTCTAGCAATGCTCATGATAGTTTGATATAAAACTCTCTCTAGTAGGCTCGGCCGCTCGGCTCGATTGCCACCACTAACAATACTCATGATAGGTTGATATAGAACTCTCTCTAGTAAGTAGGAACACAAATACTCAGAATTGACTTGTAAGTCTAAAAGGTACATCCCCATCTATAGGAGACAACGATAGACGTCCATTTTAAGAGAAAATTAATGGTTCTCTGAAAAAAGCATTTTATGGGCTTTCCATTCGTTGTACATTTGGATAGGGTTAGTACTGAAAGAGATTGGTGGTGCGCCAAAGTTCAAAAGTTTCAGATAGTCACTGTCTTGAAATGATTTTCTTAGGTTTAACAGGTAGAGATTTGAGGTTTTACCAACTGTAAAAACCGAAAAGTAACAAGACTTTTTGATTTTTCAACTAGTCCCTTCCGAGTGGTGTGTGCAAGTTCAATTTTTCTTCCTCTTTTTTTTTTTTTCTTTTGGGTCAAAACTTGCAATTTCTGTACATAGGTGGCAGTGAGACTGTGGTCTCATCGTGTGCTTTCTTATATGTCGAACCACTCCTGATTTACAAACTTATTTAGCCCCTGTTCGAGCCCCATTCTTTCAAGAATGCAATTTTTTTCAACTCATTGTAAACCACACATGTTCTTATAAAATAATTATACACGTATTTAAAAAACTTTTACTTACTTTTTAACCACGGATTCTCCAAAAAATCACTATTCTATAACACATTTTATCCCAAAATGGGGATAGAAAAGGGGCTAAATTTAAAACCCATCATCATATATGAAACATCTATGGATTGAAGAGAAGGAAAAAAAAAAAAACAAAACAAAACGTTGTTCTATCATAAACCATACACCAAAAGTTGAATGGAAATTGAAACAGGAACAAGTTTTCTATCAAAATATTGGTATCAAGAAGCTGAGAAATCTGTATATATAGTTCCTTGTTTACAAAATAAGAATAAAACTTTATAAGCACAGGCCTGTTGAATTACCATCCTTTAAGGGGTTGAAAAATAACCTAAGAAAACTGTCCAAATGAGGCAGGAAGCATTTGGAAATGTTTGCTGTATACTTCTGCAGATTGTAATGATTGTTGCAGCTCATTTGAATGCCAATCAGCAGCACTTACTGAATATTCTGTAGCAAAATGTGTTTGATTCTGAATAGAATTGTTCAGTAAAAATGGAGTTTGAATATGCTCGTTCCACTTAATATCTTGTGGAATTTCTGATTCTGATACATGAATATGACTTTCTAATTTCTCTGATTTTCCCCATGGGAAAACATTATTTTCAAAGAAATCCATATTCTGAAACTTGTTTACACCAAAAGGGCTTATGGAACTATCAGATGGCGGATTCACAGTAGGCTTTATAAGCATTGATGGAGCAAGAATCGAGGGGAGAACTGAAGGCGGCCTTGGAGTGATCTCGTAGTTAGTACAGGGTGGAGGCGACGGGTTCCTAACCATTGCAGAAGTGGTGGAATTTGGAGTGAAGTACAAATTTGTTGTGTTGGGACCATAATTTATGTGCTGGAAAGACAGAAGCCCTGACAAATCAGAATTCTTACAGCTTGTGGTGGAGGTTTCATGGTTGGCAACGAACCTATTAAGGAAAAATTCATGGTCCATTCCAACAGAAGATGGATTTCCTTTTTGAGCTACGGCAATTCCTATGTTATTACAGTTCTTGGATTCCGCAAAAGTCAGATCACTGGACCCTTCTGATGTTTTCTGATCATGATTATTATTCTTGATGCTGCTTGCAGATGGTTTTTCTTCATAGTATTCAACTTCAGAAAATGGTTTGTGTGTATTAGGGTCAATCCCTTTTTGCCTCAATTTTTTCTTGATGGAAGAATTCCAAAGATTCTTTATCTCATTATCTGTTCTTCCAGGCAATTGAGCAGCAATCTGAGACCATCTGATGGTAGAAAAACAACACCCTCACGATCACTAAAAACGACATGTTTGATACACAGTATGGAATAGGACTAGAAAGTATAATGGACACGATAATGTCCAGTACACCTGAGGGAACATGTCAGTCTTGGATTGCAAAAGTGGTGCTGGAAAGTACAATTAAATTACCTGTTGCCAAGAACTGCATGCAGTTCAATTATCAAATTTTCTTCCTGTTGTGAGAATCTCCCTCTTTTCAAATCAGGCCTCAAGTAATTGATCCACCTTAATCTGCAGCTCTTTCCACATCTTTGAAGACCTTTATCAATTATCATAAAATATGTTAAAATTTAACAGATGGGTTTTTTCTCTCATTTTTAGAAAAATCGAACCGCAGTTCTTTTTGTATCACCAATAAACTTAAAATGGATTCTTCCTAGTGCCTGGTTTAAAAATTCAAGTACTAAACTCTGAAAGCAGGATACTACACATTAGCTGAAATGACTAGGGAATATAAAGTTACCGGCTAGTTTCGGAACTGAGCTCCAGCAGCCATGTCCATATTTTGTTATGTGGTGTATAAGTTTCTCATCTTCCTCCGGAGACCAAAGTCCTTTTCTTAACTTCTGCTTATAGCAGCAAGAATGCCTCCCCATTTGCAGTACAATGCAGACAATTGCAAAAGTAGAAGGGTTCACAAAATTCTTAGTATAAATACTAGCCCAACTGCCAGCAGAAAAAAAGAGAGAATTCTAGAGAGAGAGAGAGAGAGAGAGAGAGAGAGAGAGAGAGAGAGAGTTCTTGAAAATGAGATGGAAATGGGGAATCAAATTAATATATAGAGGAGCTTTAAAAATAAGGTCATATTCAAACCTCAGGAACTCATTCCATTTGTTTTAATAAATTAAACAAATTTTAAGGGATTATAATTTTATGAAAAATATTTACGATCCTATATATATGTCTTATCAAAAGGGTTGAGAAAATCTTCTTTTTATCGTTCAAAATCCCTTCTCAAGTTGTACTAGATTTTTTCGCAGTCTACGGGGTTNTTTTTTTTTTTTTTTTAATCTATAATAATAATAATAATAATAATAATAATAATAATAATAATGAGATTGACAGAACTTTGTGGGGTATAATAAAAAGATATTTCTTTATTTTGACGAAATCAGTCCACACATTATAATCAAGTTCTAAATAAGATTAAGATATTTTGAGTTTGTATTAAACTTCGTGACACACCTTATTTGTAGGAAATTATGCCAATAAGATTCCCCACAAAAATAGGTAAAATATTTGTAAATGGTCAGATGTTTTAACTATAAGAATTTCCCATGATTAGCTATGTCGAGCAATTAATTAGTGATTAATTAAATAGATTTAGAGTTACTCATCCTCTTGTCCTTGTATAGAAAGCAAAATACTCCATTCTTCACTCTTCAGTAAGCTTTATGCCAGCTGGTTTTGTAGTTTTTCTGCTTCTCTTGATGTGAAATATCATCTCAAATTCATTTCAATATTTTCTTTAGACCACCAAAGTTCTTTGTCATTCATATTCTTTCATTTTTCTACTTAGATGTTGTATTATATATACATGATAATTATTGACAAATTCCATTATATAATCTCTCCTGTATTTTATTTAATTCTATCAATTTGACATACCAAACGTGCATTTTAAATATCATTTAGACTCAATAGTTTTACCTTCATTAGTGGCAGTGGCGGACGCAAACATTTTGAATTAGGGGGCAGAATCAAATCCTATACATATTAAATAATTTGTTCTCAATTTTTGAATGATTCATACTTGACCTGAAAAAATACAAATTTACATCTAGAAAACATTCACTCATTAATATTTTACTCATCATTTTCATTCATTTGATTTCGAAAAGTCCTTTTATTAATATTTTGCTCATTACAAGAAAATGCATATTTACATTTAAAGAATTTATAGTGTATTTGATATAAATAATCAATTCAAGTAATTGAAAGGAAAAACAAATAATCAATATATATAATCTCCAAATGTTGGGCGTCACATGACCTCCCAGGATCCTCTCTGTGTCCGCCCTAATTAGGGGTGGAATATTTTTCTCTGAATCACATAAATTGAAGAAAGCTAGTTGATTATGTTCGATTCTAGTTAGTATTTAACTCATAAATGTGTACTACAATTATAATTTACAATTTCTTTCTAAAGCAGTACAAGAAAGATTCATAAAATCTCCAAATGTTGGGGGTCACATGAACTCCCAGGACCCTCTTTGTGTCCGCCCTGATTAGGGGTGGAATATTTTTCTCTAAATCACACAAATCGAAGAAGGCTAGTTGATTGTGTTCGATTCTAGTTAGTATTTAACTCATAAATGTGTACAACGGTTACAATTATTTACAATTTCTTTCTGAAGCAATACAAGAAAGATTCATCTCTTTACTAACCAGAATGGTTTAGCTTTATGTTTTCGTCACAAGAAGAAAAACTCGAAGCATGCCCACATTTGTTTTAAACTAACTTTTATCTTGTATTTTACTCCTTTGCAATTTATATGCCTACATTCTACCAACTACCCAATCTTTTGATATAATAGAGTAGTCAAATGAAATAAATAAATAAAATAATAAATAAACTTCTCCATTATCCATTATCCATGATTGATACCTAGATTCATTTATTGTTCTCTATCATTGTTCCAAGAAAATAAACAATTCCATCCTGTCCATGATTATAAGCGAGTTTGAACAAAAATGATTGAAGTAAATTTACTAATAAAAACCCAGCCGACAATACAATAATGCACTTGTCCTCTTTTACATTCAGAAACACATATTTACAAATCGAATACTGGCAAAAAAAAACTTCAAATTTATTAGCCTTTTTAATTAATTGGTTCTCAAGAAAATATAAAATTCCTAAATAAGAATCTTTTGTTACCGTTTATGACTAGTTTAGAATCTTTAGATAGAAAGAAACAAAACAATTTACGAATTTTTAATTGTATTTTATCTGCATATTAGTGCTTGTCATGTAGTGACTCAATCAACCTAAATGGTTTAAATTTAATACTTTAAGATTTAATTTGAGAGGAAAAAAAAAAAGAGAGAGAAAGAAATTCGTGTTTCAACGACTTAATAAATATGTTACTTCAATTTTCACATCGTTAAATAGCAATTCAAAGCTTTGAATAAATTCCGACATGGCAATACACTTGAACTCTTGTAGGAAAAATCGATGAATGCGGATCAATTATTTACCCTGAAAGATCGTATGTAAACGGGTAAAGTTTACACACAATAATTGTATTTATTTATTTTTTTTTTTTACCATGAAAGATCATATGTAAAAGCATGGGTAAATTCACTCTAATTTAATTTTGTAATTGCACTTTTTTTATTCAATCGGACAACTACACTTTAGGGCATGTTCGGTACAGTTTAAAATCCAATTAAAATTAAAAATATGGCCGTTATTGGGTATCACTCGTCTAATAAAAGTCAACAATAACGGCTAGTTTTTCAATTTTAATCCAATTTTAATCTTTACCGAACACGCCCTTAATATGATTTCAATTACGTAAATATACTTCTAATTTAATTTCATTCTGATTATTACACTTTAATTTGATTTCATTTAAGGTAGTTTCTTTTAGTTTTACTTATGAAAATTGATGATGTAATACTCAATAAAATATGATCATCACATATTAGCGTTAGTTGCTATTGTAAAATAAGTATAACTTTATTGAAATAAGCAACAAGCATTTTTTTGACTATTATGTCATCGATTTTCTATAAGAAGTAACCCAATTGAAACCAAACTAAAGTATATTCGTGATTGAATAAAGTTGAAGTTTACCTAATGAAGCTAGAGTTAAAGTATAATTATATTGAATGGAATTAACCTGTCAAAAAATTATAAATTTTCAATGAAAAAGTAAAATAAAATAGAGGAAAAATATTGAAAAAAATAAATAAATTAGTAAGTCTACATTCAATTTTCTCAATTACCAATATATAGTTACGTGAAAGAAACATTTTCCTAACTTTAAGACCCTGTTTGATAACCAAGATTTTCCTTGAAAGTTGATAATTTTTTTTTCCCATTTTCCACATTTTGCACCGTTTGATAGAAAATTTTTTACCCGGAAAATGTTTTCCACTCCCACCCCTCACGCGCCCATTTCCCACTTTTCAAGTAATTGATTTTCTTGTTGTTTTGGTGGTTTTTGTGTTTTCTAGCTTTTTTTTTTTTGTCAATTGGAAAAAAATTCTATCAACAATGGTAAAATCTTTTTCCCTTTAATGGACAATTTCCATGCAAAAAAGCCAAACAAATGGTATTCCGTATGGTAATTTTTTAAAAATCTTTTTTTTGGGCAATTGGAACAAATTATAGACCTAATGGTAGAAAAAATTATCATTTGAATGGACAATTTTTATAAAAAACAAAGTCAAACGGACACCAAACTTTAAACATTTTTAGGTGAAAAATTATACCAATTAAACATAATTAATTACAATTCCTAGTAAAACAATTTTTAGCCAATTCAATTTTTTGTAATTCATTTTCTTTCCACCCATATTTCATATTTACAATCAAACAGACCCTAACATGTATGGGCTTGTGATCTTTCGGCTTGTGAAATTACGAATGATCCTGGAAAATAGGCCCCACAAGAAGATACATATAATCTCCATCCCTCATCATGTAATCTTAGTCAACCATAGATACATATATTCTTATTCTGTTTGTTCTCTATTGCTTGACAAGTTCTATAGCATTCCTTGCTTGGTTGTAGTTCCCAATTTAATTCAACTACCAAACGAACTTTCTTAGGTATTCTTTTTCTTTTTTGGTTCGCAAGATGATGGGTGCGAGGGGATGGGGAAGGACTCGGGGATGTCAGAATGTGTCACAAGCACACCGATAGTTCAAAAGACTAGTTCATGCATACACAATTATGTTACTCTTTTGGCTTGTTAAATGTCAATATGGATATAATTAAATTTTAAAAAAAATTATACATTCCCCTTGGCAATTGAAGTTTATCTAATGTTTTGATAGGTATATCCGGTCTTGGTCGATTGCATTAGGATAGCTATGGTAGGTCAAAATATTGTCTAAAAGTAGTTACTAAAAATTGGATTGTCATTGATCTTTTAATAAATGAAACCATAGACGAATAAAGTGATGAAAAAATACCCAAAAACCGAGAAGTTGCTTTACCAAGACAACATTGAGGTTTCCGCCTTGCCCGTTTCGGGTTTTCAAATAGCTTGATGTCAAAATCTTTGTATTCAACTCCTATAGAGGGGTGACTTTTAATATTGAGTTATCATCGCCGATGTATTGGAAATGATATCTTGAGATGAATATAAAGCTAAATAAGCAGACACAAAAAGAGTAAAAAAAAAGTCATTTGTTGAGGGAAGATTTACAATCTTTGACATATTGCTCATTAGATTAGGGGAATGGACCCTCTCCTCGAGAAAAAGTGAAGCTCAAGATACACAATAAGTGTGTTTTTACGCTCTTATTTAGATTTCTACTAATGTTAGTGTATATTGTATTTGTAGGTTGAACCTCAAATTTGACGATGATTCATGCAAAATGAAGAAAGTTCGGACATAAAAGGATCAAAAGATACAA